CTACTGATGGCCTTAGTACAAGGCCAACTGATACAAGAGACTGTCGAGACAAGACCCAGGTGTGGCCAGACAATGGTGCAAAGTAGCGTAGTTTGAGGCACTTGCGTGTGGTGATTTGGTGTTACGCATGGGGGAAACAATGGAGGGCATGTGGATGTGGATTTTTCGGATTAGAGCCTTGGAGGGGTTTTACGTGTAGGCAGTGGGTATGTTAATCATCTAATTGTCCAAGTCACCTGCTAGTCATGGTTTTTGATCGAGGCACCACCCACTGCCGACATACTTCCCCAAGTGTCTTGAACTCACTGCTGTCAAACTTGGTTCGGCATTTCTGGCTTGCCTCTCAGTTTGGTAAAACTCGTGAAAACAGCACGGCTCTAGCACCGTGGGGGATGCGGAAGGAGACCAAAGTTGCAAAAGGTTGTCTCAAGCAGCTGTTTTAGGCAGGTGTTGGATGGCGGATGTCAATTAAGGTGTACTTCCTCTGGTGATGGCCTTAGTACAAGCCCAACTGATACAAGAGATTGTCGAGACAAGACCCAGGTGATACGATCACGCAAAGGGCACTCGTGCGATCTCCTCATTGCTCTCAAATACATGTTCCCACTCTCCCTTATGTGAGCCATTGTCTAAACTCCTAGTATCCCCCTTAATATTCCCTATAGGAGTTCCGTATATAATCCCCTATATCACCCCCTTTAAGGAGTTTAGACTATCGCTCATGTTGCGTTCTCATTTGAGGTAGCGCCCATATGTTGTGGGCTCCGCAAGCTGGATGCAAAGCTGAAGACGCCTAAAATCTGCATCCCAAACACACTGAAACCTAAAGCCCTCATAAATCCCAAGCTGCTTGCAGTGCAGCTTCACAGCAGCAGGGGCTTAGGGAAATGTGCTTGGACAAAATGATTTCTCTGAAGAACATATCTTTAATCACAAAGGCTTGCCCTAGTAGCTGATGAAGTGCTCATTGTATCACCTTCCCCAGCCGTTTCGTCTTGCATCCGGTACACATTCTTCAATCTTCTGCTTGGCCTCCTCCCTATTTCTCACAATCCACGGAGACGGCGCAAACAAAGCGCAGCCCTGAGAACCCCTTGGGCACAGCTGGCACAAGCTCAGGTTCCACATGTCTAAGATGCCTATCCCAGACCTTAAATAGTAGCTTCCATTTTACAATTTTCCTAAACAACCCCTATATTGCCCCTATAATAGTTTCCATTTTCTTTTCCATTATCCCTGTATAACCCTTATATTACCCCTATATAACCCCTATACTAGTCACCATTTCCTTTTCCAACAGGCTCCTCCACCCTACACCCTACAGAACCAAAAAAACAGGAAAAGCAACGGATCTTTCCGTCGCCCCCCAAGCCCTACTTGTGACCCCAATTACTTACGGTTGTATGGGTTATACCTACTAAGTAAGGGGTAATTACTATTGAGCTGTAGGTAGTTGGGGTTACGGGTAGTGGCAGTTTGGGGCAAACCGAGGATTTGGAAACTGATTTCAGAAGGCCACGTGGCTTGGAGGCGCATGTCTTCTGGGTTGTATCTAAACCCTAAACCCTAAATCCTAGAATGCTGTTAGGGCTCGTTAGGGTTTAGGCTTTAGGGTGCTATATTACCTCCCTATAATGGCGAATCAAATGAACAAGAACACGGAAAATTGCATGGAAACTGTAGTTTAAGGAAATTAGAGTAAGTTACCATGTTGGGGCAACCCTATTGCCTACTATATATATATATATATATGTATGTACCCTTTATGGTAACTTGAACTAAGTTCCTCATCAGCAACCCAGAATTGTCGCATGAGCAGTTTTTCAGTTTCGGGGTTCGAGTGGGAGGGGTACAGGAAGTATCTCATGTTAATTTGTGGGGTTCTGAGAAATACCCACATGTGCATTAAAGCTCCCTAGCTCACGTGCTTGCCATCAGAACACACAAGTTGGAAGGTATGCAACACATCAACGCTGACTGCGGCTGACTGCCTGACAGAGAAATACATCAACAACAAGAGCGGCGAGCAGCCCCCATCATGCAAGCTTACAGAAAGTGCTTCTGCTATGCTGCAGCTACTACTTCAGATGAGCATACGCACGGCAATCCTTCCGAGTTCCGGGGCAAGCCCCAATTTGCATTCCTCCAACAGAACTGAAGCTCTGTGCTCTATGTCTTTATAGCCTGAAGCACCATCACCTGAGATTATATCATAGGGACTAATGAAGAGATCCCTTCCTCCACTCCCAAATAACTCCTGGGAAGCAAACCCAAACTCTACGCCCTTAACCTGAAAAACTTGCTTCCATTTTTTTTGAATTCTTTGCTAGCCAGTAAGTAATTGCGAAACCCATCAACGGGGCAAGATTCCTTCTCCTGGGCTGCTGTGTGTGCGCCTTCCTCTTCCGGCCCCACGGCCCAAGGGGGGGTTACTGCGCGGTACCTAAACCCAGATAGTTTAGAAGGGATCATTCCGGGTGTTATGAGGGCTCCGACAGCATGTGGCAATCAAGTTGCGATTTCAGAGGTTAGGCAGACATCCTGTAATTGCATTAAGGGTTCAGGGTCCAACAGCATGCAGGCCGAGGGCCTAGGGTGTCCAGAGGCAAAATGTATGAGACCATTCCAGGGTGCAGAATTCTGCCTGGAGTTTCTGCGGGGAAGTCGGATTGGCAGCCTTCTTTGTACTAATGCAAGAAGGTGGTGTTTGTGTGGGGCGTTTGCTGCAACTGGTATTGTTCCCCTGCAAAGCCGAGGGCTCGGGGACCGGTTTGGCGAGGCATCTAGGGTAACTCAAGTTGACTCAACTTGATGTTATCCCGCCCTTCAGGTTCTGCTTATCTTTGGAGCGCCTGATACGTAGTCGCACCTTGCCGCATACCTGGTGAGCACTTGCACTAGCAATAGGGCTTACCAGCGGGTAAAGCCAGAAGTGCGGACGTCAGAGAACCCTGAGACTTATCAAAGCTTCCCAAGAGCCCTACATCTCCGGTGTTCCCCAACCCGTGAATCCCTGTATTTATGACAGTCCTGCAAACCTGACGCCCGAATCCTGGCCCCTCCTGAAACCAAGATCCTTATCAAATTGAGCACCAACCGAAGTACGCTTGCATCCTGTAGCCCACCCAGCTACACCCACAAAAAGTGCTTTGAAACCGGCAATGCTTAAACACCCGGCCTTCAAAAACACGTCTGTTTTGTTTGGAATGCTACAAGGAACCCGGGCTTGCGCGACGGGATTCCTACGACGGAGTTTTATGGTTATCTGCTTAAAAAAAGGTTCTGGAGCCCCAAGTAAGCAGCATCCAAATTATGTAGGCCCCTTACAAAACAGCCATCACGCAGTCCATTTGAGATGTGCAGTGCAGCCACTCATACTTGTTCCATCCTTGTTCCTCGTGCTCCCAAGAGGGGACCTTAGAGAAGACATGTATATGCATGCGCGTATTACCTCCCAACATTCCCCTGTCTAAGCCCTTAGGAAATCTCTGACCCCAGGCACTTTTGGCTCCTTTGCTTTATCCTCATGGACTTCTGGTGTCAAAGTTCGGTGCTTGCTACGGCATCTCGTCAAGTTTCGCTGTTTAGGGCATGCAGTATTTAGGTTTTGCTTGTGTGTTCCAGGGTCCCAGATTGCATAGACAAACCTCAGAACTCAAAATGTGGGGTGTATGCTTCTTGCGAGGAGGTTTGAGAAGGTATGGAGTTGGACGTAGTTTACTCTGAGAGATGAATCCTCCCATGTAGACGCAGCTCATCGGGAATCTCCACGATGTTTTTCCCAATTCTGATGTAGTCTGTGGACATGAAGGGCTTCAGGGCTACATAAGCCTCGGAACCCGTGCTGGGAGCTTCGTAGCTGTGGGGGTAAAAAGCCGGGTAATGATGGATATCCCAGATTGGAGTCATAACCTGCGAAAACTTGCCTTGACCATGCCACCCCACACAATCTGCCTCGCCTGCTCCCCGCCCCGTTTGATCTGCAGTCGAAACTCCTTAAACGGGCTTATTCAGGGGATTATATATTTATATGGGGGATGATACCTAAACCATTAAACCAAGTTTTCTCATTTCAACCCTCCTGAGGTCTTCCGGGCCATCTGCGCCCCCCTGCGCTCACTCGCGATGACCTTCTTGGGGCCGCGCGCTTCGAGTTAAGGACCTTTAGGGTTTAGGGTCAACGGCGGGAGATTCTGCAATAGGCGGTCTCAGGTTTATGTAGTCGTTTCGGGGTGAGTGGTCAGTTTGGGAGTTGGGTTCTGTGCTTCGGCTCATCTGCAGCGTTGATGGCTTAGGGTTTAACGTGTTCATTGATTCTTTTGCAGAGCTTTAACATACTTGTGTTCTAGTATTAGCCATGTTTCAGCTGGAAAGTGAGTCCCGCCCACCCAGGCTTGTCATCATCACTTTCGTCTACGCTGGCATCGGCTTCCGCTGCTTGGCGACAGAATTCAAGGTCGCTTATCAGCTAAGCATAGTTCAAACCATGAGCATGATTTCTTACCTTGGGCCTGAAACAGACTGAACTCCCACAGCACGAGGGAAGCAATCTTATAAACTGCCCGACCTCAAGCTGTACAAGTTACTGACTGAACTGTGGGCGTTCCTGTCCTCAGGTATCATGAGCTGCCCAAGACCATTCCATAGTCGGCGCTTTTCATGCATATGTCTGCCAGTGGCGTTGCCAGGAGCCCTGGGTATGGTATCTCTTACCATAGACACACCAAACAGGATCCATATTCTTGACTGTCTCCCCGCCCCAACGTATTCCTCTGTTCAGCAGTCCCTGTAGAATCCCAAAACGTTTCCCATATCCTTGCAGAGAAGTAGTTCGGAGGCATACCAGAGTGGCCTGCCAAAGCCAGGCTACTTCCGAGATGACTTTCACCACTTCTGCAATGAAAACATTGTCACATGCACGGAGAAGCTGGTCTGCAACAAGGCTTGTAATAGCAGCTGCCTGAGGATCCCGAAGCATTGAGGGCTGGAGTGGAAGCAATGCGCAGCAGATCGGGTGACGTCAAGAATGCAATAGTGATAGTGGTAATCGTTTTGGCCACGCCTGCTTAAAACGGTAGTAGTAGCTTTGATATCAATGCCAGGGGTGATACTGATTCATCTGTGAACAAGTAAACGCAAAGCACGCAAATGACACGGAACTGTGACGATAGTGCGTGCAACAACGACGCATTTGTGAACCTATACGCCCCATGGCCGTACCCTACGATAGAATCCCCATAGAATGTATTCCCCGATGCCCAATTATAACCCCAATATATGCCCTACTATAATGTAGCAGTTCCCATTTTAATTTTCCACTATCCTTTTAGAACCTCAATATATGTGCCCTACACCCTAAACCCCTAAACCCTAGGTGACAAAGGCATGTCCCCAAGCCGAAGCCCTGAACCCTGCTTGGAGGGTCAGGGGGACTTAGTAAGTAAGTACTAAGTCCCCCTGCCCCTCCAGGTACACTCTAGTTCCTTTTTGGGTTGGTTGTGCCTTTTTGGTACGGCGCTTTAATATACTACCCAAAACGGAACTACATTGTAGGTCCTGGGTAAAGACTACGCCAAAATCACCAAACCTGGGGAGCTTGAAATCTCCTACACGGATGATATCCAGGGTTTGGGGACACCTGAGTCACCGTCCAACCTTGAAGCCCAAAATCCAAGAGAAGCATCACATGAGGAACATCCTATACCAGGGCACCCGAGCTGGAATCGTGCCTTGCCTTTCGAGAGCTGACATTTTCATGGGGCTTGAGAGTCACCGCCCTACTAACCCTGACTCCTAAACTTCAAAACCTAAAGCCTACATAGTAGTGTCCAGCTTGCTTTCCATTATCTCTATATAAACCCGAATATACTCCAATATACTAGGGGATTGGAGACCATTCGAGTTCCAGGAGGAATTCGTTTTGCTCATCAGGGAATTTCTAGAGGATTCGGTTGTTCGACGACTTGCTTTCAGATACCTTTGAATATTCTGAATGTTCAAGGGCATGAGTGCTTACTAGATCTAGGGTGGATCTATACTATACCATGCCCTGCAAACATTCATATTACTCTGAATGAAGCGTCCAAACCTGAAAAGAGTTCCATGTCGGTGTTGGTACTTCCATGCATGGTTGTATTTCCAGGTTGGCTTGAGCTTGATGCTGAGCTCAACGAAGCCTGGGAATCCGGACTGGACGGAGCGGATGATGTATGCCAGGGGCTCGGGCTTGTGGTAAAGGTTCTCGAGATTTCTGGACCCGGCGGGCCTGGTTGAGGTGGCTATGTCTCAGAACGGATACTTTCAAACTGATTGCTAAGATCATATGGTATGCGAGTCCGTTATTACAGGGAGAGAAGCACTGAACGACTAGCAAATTTTGGATTTTTGTGGCAGCCCAGTATCGCAAGAGGTTTTCTTGTTTTCCCGACCCCATATGACTGGGGTAACCCGAATCCCCTGATTACAGGAGCAGTCTCCTGACCTAATTCACATCCCTTCTTACTTGCTCAAGGCGTCATAAATAGCTATCCTGTATATACCTGGGCACCAATGTAGTTGTATGGGTACCCCTGTGACCCTAAGTCAGAAAATATACATGTACTTGATACCTACATGCTACTGTTTGCAACCATGTCTTAACTCAGGGCAACTCTGTTTCATCCGAAATCGGTGTAGGACTTTGAAGCCCAGCTCTATACGTAAACCTTGAAGTTGTGTCAGGGGCCCTTCCCAAAATCACAATCCCATGGTAACACTCCAGAATGGCCGGAAAGCAGGCCACCAAGGGGACTCATGATTCTGACAAATCGTGCAAGAGACCAAGAGAACCAGCTTGCAGTCGACAGGATTGAAACATGTGGCAGGATTCTCAACGCTGTGGCTGGTGATTGCATGCAGAAGTAGATGACAGCTTTCTGGTCTCACAACATCCATCCCTGAGCAGCTATGGCTTTCCTTGATAATGCTGCAGAAAAATATTCTGCTTCAAAAGATATTGGGGTGTCCCAAAATAAGGGTGTTTCTAAAGGAGGTTATATCGACATTGTTTAGGGTTTAGGGTTTCCCAAAAATACGGGTACTATTTTGGGGGTCACCATAAGAAGGAATTTTGTATTCTGGGGTCCATATCAGCGTCACCCTAATTATGAGGGGAACCTACCATATGATCCCGTACGGCCCCACTGGCCGTGTGGATCTTGAGCTACGGGGCCTATGCTTCTTGTCCCATGCAAACGCTGAAAGCAAAGTTGAAGACACGTCGGCTGCAAACCTCCTGGCTCTGGGTTTAGGGTTTAGGGTTGAGGGTTTTTGTCTGCCTAGCTATGACAATTACGCTGCCGAGGACATGAGCTACTTCATCATCTTTGGTGTCATTGTGCTGAATACCATTGCAGCTTTGTTCCGAATGGCCGTAAGGTTTCGGATCCAGGTCTTGTGGGGTTGTGGGCTTGTAGTTCCTGAGAGCCTTCCTGCAACTGGAACTTCAGGAAAGATCATCACTCCTCTACTTAGCCCTCCGCATGGCCATGTCTCAGCGCCAGTCTCCCGGTTATGATAAGATAAGTAGGGACCATCACTAGAATCCCAACACTTGCTGACATTGCCGATGCATGTTGCAGGTCCTCCTGATGAACAAGAGGCTCTAGCCAACCTTGACCAAGGCCTCTTCCCAGGCAAACCTGAATCTTAACCCTGTCTTAGCCCAGAAAAACAAGTGGTCCCAAAGTTTTGGGAGGGTGCAAAGGGGTGCTCATTTCTGTTTCTTCAGATGTGCTTAGCTGGGGGTTTGCTCCTTGCTTGCTTTAGCAAGGAACAAGACAACGAAGGGTCAAGAATAGTGATTTCAGTCTTTGTTCCAAGAAGGACGAGAGCTGTAGGATCCCTAGCTGTAATCCCTATAGAGGGAGTGAGGTTCATGGATCATCAGGTTTGGTTCCGGAATCCTTCTTTCAATTTGGGTTTAGCCTGCCATCCAGATGAAGAAGACGTACAGGATCTTCTCCGTATGAAGTCATGTTTGAAATTTCAGTGTTGATCGAGTGTAAGATTCAAACATGGCCTCAAGCCAGGGGGGCCTGCGTGAACATGTGGCATTGCCAGAAACCCTACTATAGGGATCCCCCTTTTCCCGTAAATCCTGCTATAGGGATCCCCCTTTTCCTCTAAAGCCTACTATGGGTATCCCCTTTTCCTCGAAACCTTACTATAGGGATCCCCCCCTCAAGGGGGATCCCATGCCCTACGCAACCACCATTTGAGGTGGGTCTGATTGTGGACTCCTTTGGCGCTCTACGTGACTGGGACATTCAACAAGATGGGCGTTTCCTTAACTTGACTTGGGGTGGGGTAATATTGGGGGATATATTGGGATAATGAAAAATAAGATGGAAACTACTAGGATTTATATTCCCCCAGTTTCCATTTCATTGTCCATTTTCTTTTCCATTTGATTCTCCATTAAAGGGGGTGTAGGGTTTAGTCCTCCTCATAAGGCTCAACTAGTAGAACAAAAAGGGAGCCCAAGCTGTTGGAAACCCTAGATGTTCAAAGGATAGCGATCTCTAGAAGAGTTTTTATTGGGAGAAACTGGCAACCCCACAAAAAATTGAGAAGCACATTCTGCCGGGGTCCCACAACACTGGAGTTTCGTCCCTGTAAAATTTCTGACCTTCCTGGGTGCCTTTCAAGTGACCGATGATCGAGCAACCCAACGGTTGAGAATTCAGGTTTCTGTAGCGTTCAGCTATCAGCCAATGATGAATTCGCATTGCAGGTGAACGTGAAGGTTTCGTAGTACTTTACAACACACATACGTACGAGCAGCTACTAGCATCCAAATCAGGAAGTTCGTGATTTCTTATAGCCTTCCCACGAAACCTGTGCGGCTCACCTGAAGACCTGTGAACCATGGTACGCTCCATGGCACTTCGGCACTTCGGTACTACGCAAACAACGCAGAGAGCCCAATGCCCAATAGTTAAAGAATCAGAATATACCTATACCTGATGTCATGTTAGGGGTCTTAGTACCATTTCAGTTAGAGTGCAAACCTTAGTCGCGTGATATGAAGGGCCACTTACCCAAAATCGTTTGAAGGGTTTACGATATAGTAGCAACAACGGGCCCCTGGCTTGAGAACCCCCACCTTCTCATGGGGGCTTTCTCAAAGTCACCTCGCGTGATCTGCACCCCATATCCCCTTTCGGTCCTGCGAAGCAAGAGAGTGCAAGATGCCTTGAATCTTGAAGACTGAGAAAACAGCGATTAAAGCAACACCCATCTCTGATGTTCGTCTTACGCCGTGCTGGCAACTTACCTAGCAAGAAGGAGCCCAAGTTCTTCCCTACCTGCCTGTGATTTTTTCCATACATTCGGATCCCACAAAAGAATTTCCGGATTAAACTTATGAACCCTTAACCGTAACCCCAATAGTCCATAATCCAAAACCAAATTAGCCCCTAAACCTTTTAAACCCTAAACCCCCTAAGCCCCAATAGCCCACACTGGTAGGCCTTGACATGGAAGCGCGAGAAAACGACCAGCGGACGCAGACATTCATCTCTTGCACCTGGTCAAAACCTGCTGGGGTCTGCGTCTGCAGGGTTTAGGGTGTAGGGTAGGTATCCTAGCTACCCAAGTAGTACCTTCTTCCCTTTTTTGATTTGAGGGTTCTTGTTCTTAAAGCTGAACAATGGGAAAAAGGGTGCCCTGACTATGTAGGGGTTACTGGGGAACCTAGTATCTATAAACGTCCATGTACTCAATTATTACCTACCTGGGATTTTGGCACTCGTAACTGTAGTACAAGTTTTCGGGAAGTTTAGGATGACATGTTCCCCGGTAGGGTATTCGGGCAGCCTGCACAGCCTCTGATGTTCAGGCTTCGTGCACCCTTCAGGGTTCTGGCTCCTCCCAGCTCAAGAACCTAATGAATTTTCCCCAGTAACGGCACTAAATCTATACTTCCCTGGCCTCACGGGCTACACTTGGATGTCCATTTCTGAGATAGCCCATGAGCATTGGCAAGGACCTCGTGTTCAAGCATTCTCTGGTGACTGGCCTATCCAAATATGTTGGGCGCAGAAAAATCACTGATACGCCGTTATTAGCAGCTTCACAAAGTTTGCTAGCCTCATGTACTGTCTTCAGTCCAGCGAAATAAGCGGTGCTGTGTCTCAGCACTGCAACATTGCGTTTCCATGTGTTATTCCTAACAGCGGCATGATCCCCCAGCCACCCAGCCACCCAGCCACCCGCCCACCCACCCACCCGCGGGATGACCCAGAGCAAAGAGAAATTTCGGGAGTGCTTCAGATTGCTAGGATCTATTCCAGGGTCCTTATAACAATGCCCCTAAGCACAAACCCAGATCAAGACCATGTCAGTTGTAAGCAAATGCAGGTTTATACAATAGACGTTTGAACGCCCACCCCTCTTGCAGGCATTGACCGGCGGAACGTGGAGCAGGTGGCACAGATGCGAGGTGCCTTGAACGGTCGGAAATGAGAAGTGCGGTTTTTGTGATGTTCAACCAATATTCCGCGCATATATGGGCTCACTGAAGTGCATTGGGGTTCTCTTGCTGGGGCCGTGGCACCCTGAACTGCCCTGAACCCCATAGCCTCTACTTTGCACCCAGAATTCTTAGTCTGTGAGTCGGCTCTTGCTTAAGGTTTGGAGGAGCTGTATGGAAGTGCACGGGATCCCCTTCTTAAGAGTTCTTTTCTCAATTGATCCAGCACTAGTCACTAGCCCTTTGAAGGTCTGTTTAAGCTGTTGGCTAGTCAGACATGTTGAGGCTTGCGCTGCCATAATAAGCAGTGGTTCTCGACAAAACAATCCTACATGTCGAGGTATCGCGGATGGTTTCGAGTACCACGAAACGCACCGGCAGAACAAGTGGGTCGCTGGGTGCAGAAAGTTCAAGCAGGCATGCTTTATAAGGATTACAGAATGGATCTGCAAGGTGCCCGAACTCCTAGAATTTCTCAGCAAAATGGAATCGCCACTTCTGCAGTACTCATGTATATTGTGTGGGCCTAGGCAATTCCCAATATGATTTCGAGAGCTGGCAGCGTAAGTTATAATGCTTGTATACAAGGAGTCTATGGGACCACGATATTGATCAACCCTGCAACCCTGTATAAAACCCGTTTCTATTTCATGTTCCAATTTCTTTCCCATTCGACTCTACATTATTGGGTGATGACATCCCTAAACCCTATATAATCCCTTTGTACCCCTTTACAGGGACTTAAAGTATCCACTTCATTCTCCATGTTGTTCTCCATTACTGGGGCGATCTTTGCGGTCCTTCATTAAGCATTAGCCGCCACCACTTCAGTCTTCATAGCAACTTGGGGGATATACAGGCCATCCCTACAGTCCCCCTTAAGTAAATAGAATATGGGATATGTGCAGATCTCATTATAATATACCCTAAGACATGTTCTATCTACTTAAGGAGGACTCTAATTTCGAAAATGCCCACGCTGCCTTGTAGGATTACATGGCGTTCATCTTCCACCTCTGCGAGACTGAGTTGGAAGTGCGCCGAGCTTGTTTGGTTTGGGCGTGAGTCTGCCTGGGGCCTCGTATATCTATAGGGAAATTATAGGGGCAAATGGAGAAGAACATAGAAAGGGAAATGGAAACTGGGAGTAAACAGGGGTCATATTGCGTCCTACAGGCGCTACAGGTGGGGGACGTATTTGGGAAGTCAGGATGAGAATACGGCCCCGTGTTCAAGCTTTGAAGAGGGTGCGGCCATCTTGTCCATGTTGTATCGGATTTGCGACGGAGTGGGTGTTGGGAAGAGGTTACACATGAGTATGTCGGGGAGCTACATTCATTTCCAACGGAACTGGCTCAAGTCGTGTTTTGGCTTTCAGCATGGCCTGTGGATATATTGGGGTATATATTGGGTTTACATATAGGGGATATACTGGGGTTATAATGGGATAGTTGAAAATAAACCGGAAGCTACTATTTTGTATATTGGGCTCATGTTACACTTTAAGACCTCCCACCTTGACAACCCGCTTGGCATGGCAGGAGCTCACAGGCCCCGAGCATCATATCCGCACGCTTATGGATCGGGGGGACGCTACCCAGCTGCAAGCAGGAATTCAGCAGGACGTAGTAGAGCTTTAGGGTTGTTTTTTGGAAGAGCCCGCATTCCCAACAGAACAGCTTTTAGGAATACCAGGATAGAATAAGTGGATAAGATGACGACGAGAAAGGAATGATTTGGGGGCTAGCTCGGGCAATTTATGTGGTGACCAGCACTGATAGTTGTTTTGTCATCTGCGTCTTGTTTTCCATGGAGTGCAATCGCTGCATCATCTAGCTTTTGCTAGACGAAGCTGGGACATTCTAATCCCTCTTTTTGGCCGTTCTAGTTGTACCTTTTTTTGCCCTATGGCTCCATGTCTATCAATAATACCTACATTGGGGCCCAATGTCTATAAACCTACATCGGGCTATTTGCAGCCCCAGGGTTGAAAATCCGGGTGGGGGCATTCGCCAAGATAAAATGTGAGTCATAGAATTCCAAGGCCAGAGCCAAGATGCCCAACCAACAGAAAGCCTCAGCCTTCCGGGTTGGTAACTGGGTTTAGGGTTAGGGTTTAGGGTAACTGGGTTTAGGGTTTAGGGGCGTCGGACCTCAAAGTAGACCATCAAGCCCCTATATAACCCCTATAATATAGTAGTTTCCATTTTATTTTCCATTATCCCCATATCCCCAGCATAATATTAGCGGAGTCGTTAAATGGCTCCTGCTGAGGGATATATGAGGGTATTATATAACCCTGATATATCCCCCAGTGGGAACCATTTAACGACCCCGCAGGCCAAGTGGATTCCCATCGGCCGCTCAAAGTTCCTGGAGGGCTCGGACATGGGTGTGCGGCCGCAGGCTGGCATGATGAGGGAGTTCAGCCCTTGATGCATGATTACAAGCAGTTGTATCTGGATTTCGCTTTGGGAAATCTAAGGGGTTTAAGATTACCCCCCAGACGTGTCAGTCTTGTTCTGAGTCCAAGCTGCTCTGGGACGTATGGGGGAGGGGTTCTTGCCAAGTTTGCGATCCTTACAAAGCAGGACAGAGGTGTACAGATCCAAGGAAGTTGGAAGTTTGAATCATGACCAATACCACATAGGGCAAAGTAGGGCTTCAGCAAGGACAGGCTTGAAGCTTCAAGCTCGGGGTTGGCTTAGCATGCACTTGTTGCAAGGCGGTAGGGCTCGACAGGCTTCCAAGCATTTGCCTGCAACCCCAATTACTCGCAAGCTTTTGTTCAAGGAGTTGCCCTGCATGCTCAATATGCGGTAGTTACTACCGAACTGTAGGTAGATGGGGGGTGGTGCTTCTAGGAAGTGGAAAGTGTGTGCGGTTGGGCCGGTTGGGTTCGACTTTCAGCTGCTGGCATGCCAGCGCATAAGAAGCCTTGTGCAATATCAGGTCAGCTGTGTGGTGATGAAGGTCTGCTCAAACATGTACTGGCCTCAAAGGGGGTTCCAGAAACTAGCGGCTAACTAGCCGTACCTTTCCACGGCTGCCTAGAATCTGGATTATTTAATTTGCGCGCCCAAGATCAAAGGAATTGAGATACAACCTGGCGCCTAATGGCGCCTAACCTAATGTTTGGCATAGTTCGCATATACCCATCCACTCGGAAGAGGTTGACCGTGGGACAAATTGCAAAGTGCTGGTGCCAGGATCGGTTCCTCCGCATCTCCGAACAGACAGAATATCTCTCTCGCTTCGCCACTTGGCGCTTCAAGCAGGGCTTTTAGATTTTAGTGTCATCATTTTGAGTAGTGGTAATATATCTCTTCTTCGCTCGCTGAGCTTAGGTCTCAAAGCCAGGGTGCTCGGATTTAAAGGTGGAGACCTTCGTCTCATTTCAAAAAAACTCCTGAGCTGACTGTTCTTCTGGCACTCGCAAGAGCTGAAATCTAACCAAGGGAACGGGAGAGCTTTGATTTGTGGCAGCTGCATGCCCGGCTACGATGGTTTTTGAATTGCATACTCTCTAGTCGTGTTCAGGTTGATTTCCCTGGGTTTGGGGAAGCAAGAATAGGATACTTATAGCTTACATCTCTTATCCTTGCGCAGCTTCAAAAAACCTTCGCAGCTAGAGAACCGCATGTCCTGAATCCTTGCCGACCTTCGATTTCAAACCGAGGTGGATGCGAATCAGGACAACTGGCCTCTTGGACTTTGAGGTTGTGGAGTGTATCCACATCTACAGCACGCCTTTACTGTTAAAGCCTCCCTTCCCCCACACCTGCATCCTGCCTGGAGTCCTCCATACCTAGTATGCAGGAGGGAGCTGCCTTAAAGGGTTTCGAATGGGGGGTGAGGCTCGGGGTGAGGCTTGCACATAGGGTTTCTGCTTGTTTGTAAGAAGCGCCGCAAAGTATGGGCGCTCTCCCAATTGGAACCCCCAAAGCCTGAACCGAGAATAGTTAATGCCATGAGTTGAAATTCTTCTACTGGCCCACTTCAAGGCTTGTCTGAGCTGTTGTTAAACAATATAAATCGAGATACCAGGGCAAATAAGCCTAGGCAGTGGAAATTGAACGTGAACGTGATGGTCACTTAGTTCAAGCTCAGTAACAGTCACCCAGCCATGAGTGCTGTGATTTGGGTTTTCATGAGCTACAGGCTCAAAAGCCTACGAACTTCTAAGCAGGCCTGCAGAGTTTTTTTGTAGGCAGAACTCACAATGATCTGGCAAAAGCTGCAACATGTGCATTACATTAAGATTGCAAAAGGAGCCTCAGACCCTCTCCTTAACCCTAGACCCTACAACAAACGCATGCCCACCAGCTTCCTGATCGGATCCTATGGGCTTCGCTGAGAACAATCCGGGAAAACGAGAGGGACCATGTGACAATCAGATATGGTATTCCCAGTCAAGAATGGCTATCCATGATCGTTCCAGCGCCGTGCGGGTTAAAGTTGCCAGGCTGCAAGGCTTTAATTTCAGCCCAAGCCCGAGCCAATCACTGCGGCCAGAAGAAAATAAGCAAGGTCATTCCTTTGAATCCCTGTGCAGCCCGGTGTAAACCCATCATCATTTTTTGTCAACCCGTGGGGCCCCGACATTAAACCAAAAGCCCAACCTCCGGAATCCCCCAGACCCGGAATCGCTGAATCCAAAGAGCTAAAGCCTCGGCCCAGCTTACTGCTAATCAAGGGAGAGTGACGGTAGGGAGCCCTACAAGAATCCCTGTCCAATTCTTATGCTATAGCCCTTATATTCATTCCCACACTCCCCCCTAAACCCTAAACCCCTAAACCCTAAACCCCTAAACCCTAAACCCTGAGGAAGAGCATCTCGAAGTCAATGACGTCCCTGGACACTGCGGTGCGGGAGAGCGCTATGGGTCACTCTCAAAGGTCTATCCTGTTTTACAGCCTGGCACATGAGCTACAGTCAATATTCCCCCTGTAAATGCTAGACACCTTCTCCCATTTGGGAACATATCAAGGATGCTATAAAACATTCCCAAGAAGTGTGAAGAATATCAAGCCTGCAGCGCAAGGAAAACAAGGAACCTGCTCTTCCTTTTGAATTGTCGGCAAACTATATTCAACAGGAAAGTCGCTATACATTGGGAAACATTACTGTCATGGCCATGCTTGTTGCGTAGCCGTTTCAAGGCAGCAGGTAATGGTCCTAGCCGCAGCTGGCTACAGGTATCATTGCAACTGTTTATCCCTACATGGCGGATTGGCAATTCAGACGGTCCTGAGTCCTCACCGCTTCGTTGCTGAACATGTTGAGGTTCTGTGCTTTGCCATCAGAAGGTGTTCAGGCATTAGCCAGGTAAGGTCTTCTGTCTCTCCGTCGGAGGTTTCACTGGGGGCCTACGTTCAGGAACCAATTCAAAATTTTGCTTCAGAGGTCAGCAGCCGCTGAAAGTCAGAGAGTCTTCGAAAAGGGCCGTGGGAAATAAAAGGGACCATGTTTACAGGCGGATGCGGCTGAGGATTGTTCTGCGGTTTTCTTGATAGGAGAAGATGGACGCCATGCTCAACGAGCTGAAAGATTTGCTCCTGAGTTGAAAAGTTTGTTCGAACCTGGAGGCTAAAACGAATTTCCATTTTCCCACTGCAGGCCCGGCATGTTTCAATGCAAGCTAGGTCAAGAACCTGATTCAAATACAATCTTTGACAGCACAAGCCAGAATTCTCTGACCCCCAATTGCAGTTCCATGCTTGTTTCCAAGGCGGGCGACAAGACTTGATAAATTTTGCATCATGAAAAAATATTTATAGCCCAATAGAAATTTCTACAAATACCAATGGCCCCGCAGTCCGTATTCAGATCTCCACCTTGCTGTAGAAACAGGGCCGTGTAGGTGCAGGGGTCGAGCAGCACCCCAAGCTTGAACACATCTCGTCTTCCACATTGAGGGCAGACAGTACTTTGATCACTGGAACCATCGCAGCTCTACTGTCCTCCTGAAGTTACCAGCCGCTTCATGACTGGAAAAGTTGAAGCGCCAAACTCTGAACCAGCTGAGGCACATGGAGCTCAAGCAGCAGCGCATGCTCAAGGCTCCACGGGTGCCATTGTGTAGGTGGTAGGTGGGGGATATGTATTAGTAGGATCTAGCGGGGGTCCATGAACATTAGGACCTGTTTGGTGGGGAGCACAAAAGGCTGAGATGGGACTTCAGATCTCTCTACCTAGACCCTCCTCCTACCCTCTTTTAGGTCCTAAGTACCTACTATTAGGGACCATATATCCCCAATTAAGGGTACAAGGAGGGTCCTGGTAGTACTCAGATTGGAGAGGCATTCCGACAAGCCCCGGTGTGTTCTGAAGTGCTGATACTCGTTGGACCTCACTGACACTCCAAGCCTGAACTTGGCCCAAGAAAGTCCTGTTACAGCCCTGAAAAATCCAAAGCGCTTTCCACATGCGGGCGGCATAGCCAATGACTGCGGGACCCAACCTGTCTGCCTGACAGGCCGTCGCCCATGCTTCGAAACGTCCAAACCCTTTAGGGTTTAGGGTTTAGGGTCCCTATCCCATCCTCTACTGCCCCAACCCCAGCCCCAAACCTTTTGACAGCCCCATGTGCCAACCCCATCCCATCCCATGAGAGTAGTATCTTTTGGGGGATACGATTGTGCCCAATATAGAATAAGATTATATCCTCCCTTTGGGGTATATTATTCTATATAAGGAATATCATCTTACTAGGTTTAACCACCAAAAAAACATTACTTAATATAACTCCAATATATACCCTATTATAATATGGGAGTATCCATTTTCTTTTCCATTATCATTATATAACTAGGTTCAACCAAAGTAATCGCTTCAAAGCCCAAGTCATGAGGAGCTCCAGGCGGCACAGGGACAGGGCTTCGCAGCCTGAGGCCGGTTGAACACCCACTGGTGAGGATCGGTTTGAGCACGGGGGGTGTTAAGGGGTGTAGGTATAATTAGAGAATTTTATTATTCAGGGTTTAGCTAGGGATACTTGATGAGGATCGGTTTCAGCAAAAATGAGGCTATGTAAAGGCACGCAAGGCTAAATGTGGAGGTTAATTATGCAGAGATATATGGTGACAATCAGCGTTAGCAGATACAGGAGTACTTAAGGGTATGTATAGGAATGGAGAATCGAATGAACAATCACATGGAAAATGATATGACGCTAACTAGGATGTTATTCCCCAACCATGGAGATGCAACTTGACAAGAAGATGGAACACTTCATGAGAACTTGTCTTGTGTAGTTGTTTCAACGGAGGGTCTCCAGAGAATAGGGACCTTTCTGGGAGCCCATCTCAATGGAAACTCCAGATTAACCACAGAATGCAATGAGAGCAACGGCAGAAGGCAATCCGGAACCAGCAGGAGGCTAGCAACAGAAGCGTAAGTAATCAGCATGCACATCATCGGCGGGCGGTCAGAA